ATTCTTAACAATTAGGGGAAGAAAGCTTTTGTCCTCTACTGTTTCTTACTTGGAATCTGGGTGGTAGTTTCCTCCAAATTACCTAAATGCTTAGAATAAGCAGCATCTACGGTTATTGTCAATTCTGTGCCTAAAAAGGTACCTATCTGTTGTACACTCTGTACAGATATTGGGAGATTAGTTCTCTCTAGGAAAGCTGCCTGCACTGAATATCCCCAGATCTTAAGAGGAGACTTCTATCTATGAAGCAGCCTTTGTAAAAGAGTTGTGAAAATTTCCCAGCTCTTGGCACTTTCTCTATGCTGCTTTCACTGGACTTCTGGCGTGTAGGTATGGAAAAGGGATAGATAAAATGTAGCATGGTTTTTGTTGGCTTTGAGACAGTGGGAAGAGCTATAAAATGTTCAGAAGGTCTTTTGAAAGTCAGGATATCAGGACACTTGCTGTGAGTTTTGCTGATCTGTGCTCTGTGCCTTGTTTACCTTGGGGTCTCTCAATATCCCTACTGAAGAGCAATTTCATTCTTTGTTGTCTTGCTCTGTTATTGTGGGGCTTTCTGTTTATCTTACAATAGGCTTGGAATGATACTTAATAAAACCAGCAGCATTTTCAGGCAGATCTTCCCTTTCATTCCTTTGAGTTTGGTTGGCTTTTTTTGTTTGGTTGGGGTTTTTTTAATGACACTTTTTCATCAGTCCCATGTTGATGATCTCTCTCGAATTCAAGTGGCATAGGCAGGGCCACCATCTGTAGGTTTACGGTGTTGGTTTCCAGACATCCTATCTAAATGCTGTAAATAGCAGTAGGCTCCTATTTAATAGTAATAACAACAGTAATACTTCCTCCTGTTCAGAATTGACTGTAGTACTGGAAGGGATACAAACCCATCTGATCAGATCTTAAGTGCAGCTACACGGAAAGCAGTGAAACTTTGCTGGTAGAGAGGTTTATGCCATGCATAGTGTGGTGTCTCCTTCCTTGTCAAGCAGCATTTCTCAAACTTTGTTAAAAATATGAATGCCTTTTTTTTTTTTTTTTTGGCTCATCTGTCTTTGTCTGAGTTTTTCCTGCCCTCTCTGCAGGGATCTGAACAGTTGGGAAAATTCCTTAGGCTCTTTAGAATGAGGGTTTTGCTGACACTTCACAATTGCTTGTTAACCTTCTCACCACCCCAGCCATCTCCCCAGCTTTTGGTTGAGTAATGCACCGTGAATTACTGGGCTCTGTATCAGTACCCAGTCTATCAAGAAGGTGTAATTTATACCCCCTACCAGCTCAGTGCTCTGTCTTTGCTGCACCTGAAAGCTGAGCTGACTAGCAAGTGCTGGCATTTACTTGGCAGTTTACGGTAATCTGCATGTGCTGCAATGCAGATAGACCCACCAAAAGATAGGACGCTGGACTTAACGGATTGTCACAGGTATCGGTCTTATAGCCCAACCTTTCCATGGACTGGTCAACCAAAGGCATACTGCAGTGTGCTGCAAAAGCTCCTCAGCTTTCTCAAGTAGTCTGATTTCTTTTTCAAGGTGTTCCTATCCTGCAGTTCTAAGGCTTCTCAGAATAGAGAGTTGTGCTACTAAGCCTGTTTTAATTTACTTTCATTACACATGTTTTTGGCTAGGTCTGTCATCCTAATAGACACAACCCTTTCAAGAACTGAAGGCATAAGAACTCCTACTTCATAGCAGGAAAATTATATTTGGTAATTGAAAAGGATTTCTGGTAATGACAAAAGTACATGCTGGTTCTTCGAGTGATTCTTGTTAGTTATTCAAGCCCTGAATAATACTGCAAAATACCATGGGTAATTAAATCAAAAAGATCACTGAATATGCAATTACATATGCAGGTTTGTGGCTTTAGTTTATTGTGTTCTCAGTAGCAGAGGCGGCAGGTGTTTGACACTCATCATTCCTTCACTGAGAAAGAAATGCATTTGAATTTCTGCTTTGCTTGTCTTTGAAGTCAACACCAATATAGAGGTTATTCATCAAATTACATCAGTTTTAATTTCTCTTTCTCTAGGTTAGTAAAGAAAACAGAAACAGCATTTTTCAAGACATCTTGGCAGCTGTGGAATCCTGCAGAAAATGAAGACATTTTGTTGCCTGTAAACAAGAAAGCTTTTATTTCAACAAAACATTACAAGGTTTTGCGGCTGTTCTAGTCTGTCCTTCCTGCTTTAGCCCCTGGAGGCTTTACTAGAGCCTTCATGGTAAGCAAGGTAAAGCTGGTAATGCTCTAAAATGTGAAAATGAGCTAGCAGGCTTCTTGTGTATTCAGTTCACAAGCTGATCCAAAAAATTGAACAGATGCATAGTTAACATCCTGTTCTCACCTGGGTGTTTGGAAGTTAGGTGGTCTGACTCTCATGCTAGTTACACCATGTAAAAGCATCTTAATCTTTCAGAGTGTGGTGTGGACTGTTCTGCCTCGACTGCAACTCAGTGTGGGGAACTTGGGCCCTGGTAGAACAGAACAGAGCCCTGCACAAGATGTACATGTGCTCTGCCTGTTTTTATGTAGAAATATCATTGCTGTCAGTGACCCAGCTTGTACGTGTCCAAGTGTGTTTCAACATGGGTGCTGGCCATGAGGTAGAAGGAATAAGCAGATGCTCTTCCTCCAGTCTTTCCAGTTGCAGTATAAAGAAGGTTATCTAGAATTTCAAGGAAATTTCTTGTAGTCCTAAGTGACATTAGCAGAATTCTACAACAGGAGGAAAAATAACCAATGTTGCCCTCTCCTAAGTACTGTAAACCCAGAGAGTAGTTGATAAGAAGGCTGCATTTTGGATTTATTTTCAAGTTTCTGATGGCAATCCTGCCTTGCACCCACTTAAAAAAGTTACAAATGTAAATCTTCAAGTTCAGTCAAATCTCGACTTGTGTTTTCATGCAGCATTTATTAAGTCAGGATTGACTTAATACTATATTAAATAAACCCCATTTGTCTGTATGGGTTTTACAATCCCTTATGTTTATTGATGCTATTTGTTTGGTTGGGTTTTTTTTTCCTTATTCAATTCTGTACAATGTTAATGATGACATAAGTGTTTCAGCATATTAGACAATGTGTTTCCTTACAAGATGTGCAGATGTGTTTAGGAAAAGTGCTACCACTTAATCGGTTTTGTGTGTTGTGAAAGCAGAATTCCTTCCCAGGTGCACACCTGTTCATTGTACAGTTTATAATCATCTCTGGCTGTAAAAAGTTGTTAAGAATTCAGTTGTTTCTTAACTTTTTTTTTCTGTTCAGTTCAAGAACTGTTAAAATAAGAAAACTATTTAAAGGCATTTTGAAATATCATTCTAGTTATTTCTGTAAAACTGATGCCCAGTGTTGGAGCAGATTAGATGGGAACAGGCATTTTTACAGGTGTCCTGGAAACAACTGGGAGCATGGAGGGAAATGTCCTTTCTGTTATTTCCCATATTCAGAACAAGAGTCTGGTACAAACTGCCCCTCCATAGATGGTAAGAAGTAAATGCCGTTTTATAAAGAACACCATGGCCTTGTTCGCTGACTGCCCCATTATACTACCGTTCTGCCCAAATCCATTTGGATGATAGTATTGTCTTTATATCTGGTAAAAAGAGAATTCCTTTTAGGGTCCCACTCCCTTAAGATCTTGGCTGCTTTTTGCAAAATAAGGCTGTGCCCTGGAGGTATCGCTAATCCCTTAATTGCTTCAGGCTCTTACTCAGACATGACACCCTGTTAGAGGTGAAGGATTTTGGACCAAAGTAAACTTTTTAAGGGCTATGTGCCATAGACTTTGAAACAGAAACCTCTCTGCACTTAAGTGTTGCATGTCCTACTGCTTCAGTGTTAAGTCTTTTAAGCTGTCAAATATGCGGCAAAAGAATAGTTCTTTCAATTATTAAATAATTACCCAAAGTCTAGCAAGGTTTTAATGGGACTGCAGTTGAATCTTAAATGAGGACTGACCTTTAAAGCTAACTAAAATGGAGGTATTTGGCACTTCTGTGTAGAAGCTGCGGAGGGGAGTTCCTCCAGGAGCAATGGCAGAGTTCAGTTTTCCATATTCCAGTTCAGCCACTATTGTTAGGAGTTAGTCACTTAAAGTGGTATTTAGACCTCATTAAAGTACATTACATTGCCCTGCATACAGTGACATGATGCCTGCTATAGTCCTATCGTTCAATAGACTGGAAAAAAAGAAAAATCATAACAAGTTTGGAGAATTTTTGACCATTGTGCTTCTGGTACTTTTAAGCCACTGTCTCATGGTGCAAGGAAGACCTTTTATAGCGAGGGTAATTAGTCACTGGAAAAACTTCCAAACGGAGGTGGATTTTTCCTTCACTAGAACTGTGAATGAAGTGTCTGCCCTTTTAAATCAAAGGGTATTTTTGCTGCTGCCATCACTGGCTCTTGGTTTCTGCTACCTATCTCAAGATTGGCGAGTCTTTAATTTGTTGTTATTCTTTTTTTCAAGCCCAACTTCTCCCTGAGCTAGAGTGCTTTGCAGGAGAAAGAAAGAGAAATTTTGTGGTCTTTGTTCAGCAG